AAATATTCTTATTTTTAGGTCATTCTAAACGAATAAAAACACATAGGCCTTACTCGCACTGGAGCACTAAATTTGGCAGGTCACATTTTATATAAGAACCACTCGTACCGAAACTCAGAGGCGAGCATTTCCATCTTCACAAATAGAAGTCACAGTGATCTCCTCTGTGTCTTCATTTGTTCTAAATGAGACACCAAAACATGTCAAAGGGGGGTGAAACCTTGAACTACAAAGAAAAACAAAAATCAAAGAGGGCAGGATGAAATTCGTGTAGTTGGGAGAATTCTTTTGAAAAGTTTATTGAAAAATGACTACAAGGTACACAAAGAGTTTTAAAGAGAATCGGTTAATGAAAAGATGAGTCATCTGACATATCAACACTTTATTTTGTTTCATTTAACTTATTGTTCGTGCCATATATAACATTACAGTTTGAATCTGCTCTAACGTAAGCATTTTCTGAGAATTAATAATGACAATAACGTGTATAAGTCTAAAAGATATTAATAAAATACACAAAGGTGCATAATCTGAAAGAACGTTACAATTGACAGTGTTCAACTCTGTAATTGGATTTGATTTCTTTGTGCACATAATACGCAAAAACCTTGAGTTGCACATGAGATTTCACTCCCATATCAATGCAGCAGGTTCTTGGCAGCTCATCTGTAGTCCTCATTTCAAAGAGAAATGACAAAATGCTGTGAGAGCATATTCAGTCCATCATCTTTGTTCGTGGTAATCACTTATTTTTATACCATTATAGCTGAGAGAAGAGTTGAGCGGCATTGTCGATATTTACAGATTCCTTTGGTGGCTCTCTGACAACCTAAGAAATTTAAAAGTATATATGTTGATAGCAATAGAATTGTTTTAAAAACACAGGTAAATGAATGTTAAAAGTCCATGATTTCCTCCTTTACCTGTATTTGTTTCTTTGGTTCAGGAGCGACTGACTTTGAAATGCTCTTAACATCCCTCTGGACTTCTGTGAAGATTTGATTTAGACTCTCCACTTTCTCCTTTTTCACTGTATTGATCTGTGATACCGCAATCATGTTAGAGCAGATGCAACAAACACCACGAACAAGGGAGGATACATAATACATGTACAAAAACAAAACCCAATAAGCCAAAGAAAACAAAACCGGGAGTAAGAGATGAAAGAGATCTTACATGTTTGAGTGTTGTTGTGACGGGTTTCACTTTGGTCTTGTTCTTCAAGTGCTTGTTTGCCACTTGAAAGACGTTCTTCTGTTTTTTCCCCTTTTGTTTATTCTTTGCCATTTCACCTGTGGAAAGAACGGCAATCAGCATGGATGCATTTGTGGAAATTATTTACTTTCTCTACCATGTTCTTCCTCCAGTGATTCCCTGTGTTTGTCTGGCAGTCTCTGCGCTGATCACACACTCACAGATTCATAGATTGCTCCTGATTCTAGACGTGCCTGGAAAGCCACCTGATTATCAACACCTCTTTTTACTCCAAAAAGCTCAGTTATGGCCATGGGCCTTAAAACAGTGGTCAAAAAGGTGTAGATGATATCAGAAAATGCTGTAAGTCAAATGAAAACGCACTAATTCAGTCAAGTTTTATAGTGTTATAACTTTTTATATTAACATTTTCCTGCACAACCTGCTCAAAAAACAAAAAAAGCCCTCTCAGTACACAGAGGGCTGATGTTGGAGTTTGATTTATAAACTACATAAATTCACAAATTCTTCCTGCCCAGTGAAGGTGACACACACAACTGCAGATTCTACAAGAGCAATAAACACGGCACAACTGAAATCTGCAAAAGGTAAAGACAACAGCAAAAGTATAACCTCCAGGGGGGGAAATATATTGCTTTGTCATTTACTTCTTTTTTTTTTTTAAACCTTATTTGGGGACAATGATTTCACCCAATTTAACTGGTGAGTCTGTACATGAAGATTTCATGGTCTGGTGAAAAATGGAATCAAAGTGGATAAGGAGTCATAATGTGGCTGAAGAGCTGGGTGAAAAAAAAACAAGCATATCTGTAGCTAAAGGCCTTTGCTGATATTATATGCGTTTTATTTATTTGTTGTTTTTTGTTTTACTTTTCTGGTAGCATATTTAGCCTTCATTTTTGACAGGACAGTAGAGTGGGGCGGTGGTATCGACTTGAGCATGGGCCCCCACAGTAGCATTTCAGCATTTTGTATCACCTGCTCAAACCATCTCTTCATATATTCAGACTCTGGGAGGCAGCCAGAATACCTGAAGTAAACCTGCAGGCACATGCTAAGGAGAGGGGAACCAGCTTTATGCTGTGAGGCTACAGAGCTAACCACTACATTACCCAGTCGCTCCAACCTCATCCTTTTTATTGCCTGCACTTCTGGATATACAGCTTATCTGGGTTTGAGTCACGGGGGCAGCAATCTAAGCAGAGAAGCCCAAGCCACCTCTTCCAGCTCATTCTGGGGGGACACCTAGTCCCTCCCAAGCCAGGTGACAGCTACAGCCTCCACAGTGAGTCCTGGGTCTCCCCCATGTCCAAAACATCTCGCCTAGGAGGCATCCAGGAGGTATCCAAGTCAGATGCCGGAATGACTTTAATCAACCTATTATCTGGGTCTCTGGTGGAAATATGGAACTTTTCATGCTGTAAGTATGCAAAATCTTTATCTTGTGTACATGGGCACAAACTAGCACGTTTGAGACCAGCCAGGGAAAAAACAAAGATCTTGCTCAGGAACATAAAAACGCTTCCATTTAGCTGGGCTCGGGACTGGGACTGGCACTGGGAGTGCACTAGTCTGTGACCTGTGGTAACGTTATAGGAATTTCCAAAGAAACGGTAAAGCTTAAAGACTAAAATTTATCATCAGTGTGTTGCATTTACACGGAAGGACAGCAAATAGACAACGTGAGAGGGAGACATTGTAAATACCTGATACACATACAGCAGTGCATAGAAAAGAGTTAAGACAAACAGCCAAGTAGAATACCATCAGAAATATAATAATAACAATAATAATAATATGTATTACGGTCTTTAACGACATGTAATAATATTTCAGGCAAACTGAAATCCAGTGCGGTAACCAGCTAGTTAGCTGAGTGCCTCACATGTTAGCCTGTGTTATAGTACACATAACGACGATGAAACTAAGCGACTTATTTGAGGTTATTTATGTTGGTATAACAGTTCGTAAGTGTACGGCTGTAAGATATACGCCACTTACCGAACTTCTTCGAAGAGTGGCGTTAAAATCCTCGTGCTACTTGAAAACACCACCGTGCCTTCTTGGTGACGTCATTTGCCTGCGACAGAAACGTAACGTTAACGCCCCTGTCACCTGTTTCGAGAGAGTAGCTGACTTTCTTTCTAGGACAAATGAGATAAACGATTATTTAATTTCTTTATATTGTACTGTGAATTAGATAACTAATTCACAGAAGCTAAACTTATATATTTATACTCACACCACCATAACTTGTTTTTGCCTGAGATGCATTTCTTCTTTTTTGCTCGCTTTTAGGAACTCCACAGCAGAATATCGGCATCCCCCGTCACACCAACCCACTGCATGTTCTACATGTCTTCTCTAAGTTCTTCCTCTTTTCCTCCTGCTGGTAGCTTCACCTTTCAATATATCCGTATTCTGATTTTAAAAAAAAAAACAAAAACATCCCAGCCTTGCTTTTTTTTTTTACCTAATCTGTCCCTCTGATGTACTCATTTCCCATTCTGGTCATTCCCAATGAAACTTTTAACATCTCAATTTCCGCCTCCTGTCTTTTTGTTAGTCCCGCCATCTCCAAACCATACATCATAGCAGGTCTCACTACCATCTTGTAAATCTTCCCTTCACTCTTGGTGCTATACTGCTGTCACAAATCACCCCTGACCCTCGTCTCCAACCGCTTCATCCCGCCTGCACTCCCTTCTTCACGTCTCTTGTGCAGTGACCATTTTTTATTTTGGTTTGTGCGGTCTATTATTATGTCCTCTTGTACAGTCGCGTTTTCGTTTTTTCCTTTGGACCAGTTCATACGCACCTGTTCATTATCGGTGAATACTGTCTCATTTGACTTTGATTTGTAGGCTAAATATTTATATGTATTATAGTCTGAAATAATAATAGAGCAAACTGGCCTTTAGTTTCTGTTTTGCGCCTTGATGAACTGTGCATATCAGATATATGTCCTATCATTTCTTGCTCCTGAGGCAGAAGGAGCGAGATAATCAGTGAAGCAGAGGTTAAGCCAGTCGCCCCAACCACTGAGCAAACTCATCAGTTCGTTTTAAAGCTTCACGGATCAGGTCCCTGTACCGGTAACACGTTGCTGTGCTGCCTGGGAAGCAACAGCAGGTGGCACCATAATACCACCGCAGCGCTTATCATTACCTGCATGTTTTTTGTTTTTTTGTTGTCGGGGTTTTTTTTTTTCTGAAAAACCTTATTATGTCATTGTACTCTGAGTTGCAACGGGAAAGCAAGCGTTTATTGAAGATTATGAAGGAAGACGTAACCCCCCCATCATCACTGACAGCCATCATGCAAATCATGCAGCAAATTGACCTATTAGTTTTTACTTTGTTTTTTATGAAAATCTTACCAGACAAGCTCTAAAGTTCATATTCCAGACCCCCCACCCCCATTTCACACGCGATTTAACGATTGCTTTGTGCGTTTGCAGACATTTGTACTAACTGGTGTTTGCGACAACTTTTTGTGTAATTATTCGAAATCCATCTACCTCTCTATCGATATCTGGTGATTGTTTGCGCGTTACTGCCGCAATATCTCCACTGTCAGGACTGTAGTCCACTGTCCGTCTGAATGTGTCACTGGGCTACGTGTCTTCTTCACTTCCTCACATGACAGACGCGTAAAATCCGTTAGATGAAAGGTGAGCACGCGCTCGTCGCGCTCGAGAGATAGGCTATTAAAGCTTCATAGCTGCTGGCCGATGAAACGTTTAAACCACCGCAGATTCAGTGAGAGAGAGAAAGACAGAGAGAGAGAGAGCGAGAGAGAGAGAGATCCATTGATCCGACGTGTTGCAGCGTTGCGGTGCATCTAAACTCCTCCCGGGCTGCCGGACGGACACGCCGCACACTGGGACCCTATATAAGCTCTGCAGCTGTCAGGTGGAGGACACTAGCTGCTCTGCACTGGGGAACGAGTCGCTTTAGCTTTAGGGGATTACAGCTCTGTCTGCTCGCTCATACATCCAAACTGTCACCATGTCTTGGGGATACAAACCAAACAATGGTGAGCCGCTGATTGCACTATATATATATATA